GTGCTTATAGTCAAATCAAGCGTATCAATAATGTGCCCAAAATCACTCAATTCAGATACTATTAAGGAGTTGGATGTCCAATGAACACCGTCCGATCAATGGAATCTCCTTGGGGGCGTTCAATCAAAATGGCTCGAATTTCTTTTTTATTTACAATATGGACTTTATAAATAGAGCTCTACCCCGTCTTGAGAATGAGAGTTGACCCTGGGCTAGAGAATGGTCAGAGCCTGCAAAAGGAGCAAAAGCTTAGGAACCTGCACCATGATCCAACGAACACCTCCTACTCTTGCAGCCACCAAACATCGTCGGTCGCCGCCAACCACTATTTGTCACCGCTCACTACCAACTATTATCAATTGCCGCCCTTCGTTGACTACCGTCATCACGATCGGCCACCGCCTGCTCGGTGTGATGAAGCGTCTTGTGAAGCAACAACTGACATCACAAAATTAATAAGTAAACTACGACATATGTGACCACCAATGACTTGCTCGGCTCACAGCTCACGCAACTTCCAACTATGATCTATGGGGCCTACAAACATTATTGTAGCTCACTAATATGACCTATGTAACTAACTACAACTTATGCGGCTCACAACTCATGCAGCTCCCAATTATGACTTCTATGGTCTACATATGTTATTGCAGTTCACCATTATGACCTACGTGACCAACTAAGACATAAGTGACTCACAATAGACACAACTCTCCACTTTGACCTCTACGACCAATATATGTTATTGCAACTCTCTCTGCAACGGTCTATGTGACAAACTACGACCTATGTGTCACAAAACTCTCTAAGCTCTTAACTGACCTATAATGTGTATGGACTTTATTATGGCTCCTTGTTATGATCTATGTAACCAACTACGGTCTATGTGGCTCACAAATCACACAATTCCTAACTCTAGTCTCTGTGGCATAAGAACATTGTTATAGTTTCTTGCTACGACCTATGTGACATACTACAACATATGTGGCTCGCATCTCATGGAGCTCTCAACTCTGGCCTCTGTGGCCTATGAACACTATTGCAGCTCCATATTATGACTATTGTGGCCAACCAACACTCTTGAAGCTACCACCTACGGATTACATGGCCAACTACCACCACAACTTTCAACTACGACCTCTACGACTAGCTAATGACATAACCACCATCTATAACATTCATGGCGGACTACTGTCTTCATAGCAATTAACTATGATCTTCGTGGCTCATTACATCTATTATTATTGAACTATTGTTGTGCATCAACATTGTAATTCTATCTTCTCTAATTTAAAAGAATATTGGGCCTATGAACTTGCAATTCCTTAGCGGTTTACTCTGATTGGGTCAAACCTCATGTTATTTTCTTTTTTCAGGGGTTTCCATTTGAAAGTCATGTTGTTTGCTCATGCTATGTTTCCTTATTATCAGTGTTTGTGCTGGAATTTTGTACAACACCGAGATGCTAAATAATCACTCCGCCTTCGAGAATCATCTGACACATATCAAGTGTAAAATAAGAATGTATTTAGAATTTATCCCCTCATTTATTTTCTGTGTATTTGAAATTCGCTAGATTTGCATGAATTTCAAATATACAACTTTATGTAAAACACTGTCAGTTACTACTATGGTCACCTGGCCCTCATCTCGTCGATTGATGGTGCCAATTAGGGGGTCAGATCTTTGACCCAAAAATTGACTCCCTATGAAATAACTTTTAATGACCCAGTACGTAAATTGAACAAGTCAGAAATTTCAACTCAAACTCGATCACCTTTAATCCATTGACCCAAACCGATTTGTGTAATTCGTTTTACATAAGGCATAACACTATTGGGGTAGATATTGAGTCAATTTTGGGTTAATGAGTCAAATTCCAATTTCTTGATTGATTTCGAGTCAATTTCGAGTTGGTAGTTGCTCTTAAACCCGACCCAAAAGAGTAATCATGCTTGAATTCCTATACCAAATTTGACCTGAAAATTATTCTAAATCAACCCCAACTCGAACTTTGGAGCAGGGTTCAAGTCTAGTTAGCATGCTAAGTCAACTTTTGACAACCTTTATGACAGTGATGACTGATACAGAAGGAGCCTTGGTTAATTTTTATCAAGATAATTGATAAAAAAATTTTAAAAATTACTTGAATATTTGTTAAAATAATTTAATTTATTTCAAAACTAAGATAATTTACACATATACCACAAAATTTTCTTGTATTTGCATATCTAACACATAAATTGATATTTGCATTTATAGTACTTTAGTGTCATGAGCCCATGCATGAAAAGATATACTTCACTTTTACAACAATAATAATAGTCATATTTTTTTATGTATAATTAAAAATTAGAGAGTTATGTATGTAAATATGAAGGTTTAGATCTTAGATTTGCAAAAACACAAGTATTGAATGGTAGATGTGAAAAGTATTTTAAGATGCAAAAACGCACTAAGGACTATTTATATTGAAAATAAAAGTATTTTTTATCAATCAGGGCTCATTTGTTTTCTGCTACATGTTGTAAATAGGGGTGTAAACAAATCGAACACGAA